TATTTTCACTAATAACAAAGTTACTAATGGTGGACACTTAATTTGGATAACCCTGTATAAAAAAAAATAACCTGCCTTCAAAAAGGACAACATATAAATACCCATCGGGCACAGCTAATAGATATACGTCATTGGCAGCATATTCAGTAATGATTTTCTCACACAGCAAATATCACAGGTGCCTGCAGGTTTTGCAGAACAGAACCTGGCGTACAATTACTAACGCTCCATGGTATGTTTCCAACGAGACCCTTCACAGACACCTTGATACCCCTTACCTAAGGGACTACATCAAACAACAAGTGCAGCTACGTTATAGTCAAGCAGAATCGCATAACAACCCTTTGTTGCGCGAGTCAGTAGACTACACAGTTGAGCAAGTTCGCAAGCACACAAGGCCGCGACTCGCACTGTGAACAAAATTAAATCGTGCGACTTTAGGTCTAACCAAAATTATAATTTTCCTTCAACAACCAATCCCAAAATTAATTTTAGGATCAATTTAAAATTGTCGAATACTAACTAGCAATGCCAAGGCACCCCTCAAATTGATGCACTAATTTTTTCTTTGCTCTCCCTCCTTCCTTCCTTCCTTTCTTCTTCCCTTCTTTCTCCCTGACTTTGTTTGGTATCTGGGCAACCAGACCTGACAGACCTACTGACTTACAAGACTTCAACCAAGAGCAAAGGTCCTACGGACCGCTCTGACAGACAATGACGAATAGAATATCACAGGGAAATGATCCAGATCCGATCTTGCTATTCAACTTTCTAGTCTGCAAGAAGACATTTTATAGTTTTTTTTGACGTTTTATAGGTTTTTTACATAATACCCGTGGCGAAGAGACTAGAATAAATGTCTAGGATATCTACGTTATCTCTACTAGCTTAACTAGATACAGGAACCATTAGAACACTAGATTCGGGTACTGAATTTGATTGATGCTGTTTTTCAGTTGAATTTGGTCACATGAGACTTGCCGAATGATGCATATAGTTTCTAACTACTAATACGTGATTATCGGATATACGTTATTCGATGCCGGCCGACGGTGCCGGTACTGGTCCGCATTCCTTCGTTAAAAATACGATACAGTTCGAGCCGGTCGATCGGTCGGTTGCCCATCAGATTTTTTCGAACAGCCTGCCGTCGTGGTACCGTTGGCCGCAAGGTAAGCCGATACGTCGTACCGTGGCTTGGGCCTGCATGGCTTCCAATTAACCGCCTAATTGGTCAATTAATGCTGGCTACCGTGCGCGAGCCATCGACGCATTGCGTCCTGCACTTGTTGCGCCTTTGGCGAATACACATAGTTTCCCTTTCAAACTGAATGCTAATATCCCACAAATCTGAGGTGCGAATCACCAAATTTAATAGGATCGTTTTCTTCAACTGATATTAACATCTCCAACGAAAATCTGTATAACTACTATAATGAAACAAAGAGGTTTCAAGACTAATGATATTGTTAACCGATAATGTACGCTAAAGCTTTGACTACAGTAGCATTTCTATTATGCATCAATGCCGATGATCTCTTTTCCTTGATGATGAATTTTTTGCACAATATCGCGGATTATAGGATTTGGGTGCAGGCGATAAATGCGCGTCAATTTGAAGAAGAAAATTAACATTGAAATCCCTATTTCGCGGACTGCGGCTTGATAATTTTTGACAACAAGTGTTGGTAAATTTGTCTTGACAGGGCTTCTTCATATTTTCGGTATGACTAGAAAGGGCCAAAAACACCATTTTATCAGAATTCTCACTCTTCATCCCTTGGAAGGAAGAATGGGTAGATTTCCCAAGAAAACAGGACACAGTGGCTCAGGAGTATACTTGGAAGGCAAAGGCGTGCAGAAAAGCTTGGCACTTGGAAATTTTTTTGTTATATCGGAGCCTTGGAAAATTTTTTGTTATATCGGAGCAGCCGCGCAGGCAGAAGCCTGAATGCCGGAACACCGCGGCTGCTATTATGAAATTTTGTTAATACGATTTTTGAACTGCCTAAGGTCAGTAGAACTGGGCAAAGTTTCCTCTTGTAGATTATTCCACAATCTCGACACCCTCGGGACAAAGGAGCGAACGTATCGGCCAGTTCTGGATGTATGAAGTTCGACACGGTTAGGACGGGACGCCAAAGTCAGGCGGGTCTGTCTGGCAGGCATATCGCGCGGCGGCATCATGGAAGAGAGCTCTGAGGAGCAAAGCCTGTTGGTGTAGCGATAGAAAAGAGCTAGATCGCCGACGGCCCGCCGGTGCGAAAGAGTCCCGAGACGGTCTGTTAGAGAAGAGTCATCGATCAGTCGGACCGCCCTCCTCTGTACAGCATCGAGCATGGATAATGTAGTCGGGGCGGCAGCACCCCAAACGTGTGAGCAATACTCGAGGCTAGGCCTTAGCTGGGCCTTATATGAGTGAGAAGGTCATGCGGAGAAAAGTACTTCTTAGCCCTAAATAAATAGCCTAGCTTTCTCCCAGCAGCTGCAGCTATTGATGAGATGTGTTCGTGCCAGATCAGGTCCTCGGTGATCTGGACTCCGACCAGCCGAAATGAATGGCTCTTTGGCAGAACTCGGCCGTCCATCGAAACTGGATGAGCGCTAGGACGTTTTTGTTCGTCAAAGTACAGTACTGTGTTTTGGAAGCATTCAACTGTTCAATATTGTTGCATCCCCAAGCAATGATAGCATCCAGGTCTCTTGTGAGAGAGGAAGTCGCCGCTAGTCTTCCTTTTTCCAGCTCAGCGGCAGAGATCGGCTTGTCACTCTGAATTCCTGCATGTAGAGTGCTGTCATCAGCGAAGCTGTGGATTGGGTTGATCGTGCAGAAAAGAAGGTCGTTGATATGTAAGAGAAATGTAATTTTCGCGGATGTTTTGAAAACACAAAAAACGCACACACGCTACTCGTTGCTTAAGAAACAGGTATACTTTATCTGAAGTCACTTGAAACACTGTGAAATACCGGGTGCGTTTTATACATCTATATTTAACACGCTCTGTTGCTGCAAAAATCGCCAAATTTCGCAGCAAATATATAAGATCAAAGGCAGTTTCACCGGTCCACGTGGAGTAAAGCACGCCTATGCGTGGACATAGCCAATGAGAAAGCGTGCATTTCAGAGCTCCGAACAAGTGCAGGTGGGTACTGAAAATTGCCAGTTTTAGCCAGTGCCGTGTAGCGGTGAATAAACGTGTTTTCTTTAGTCTGTCCGTGTTTTTTCATAGATTTTATTAGTTTGTGTGTTTTTGACTTTTGAATACTCAGTTTACTTGTTGATTTCATTGTTGTGTTGATTGTTCTTGTGTGTCCTAAATATGGCTCTTTGGAGACCTTGGGAAAATGCTCCAAGCCACGAGGAGATGGTTGATGAACATGTGCAGGCAGAATTCTTTCATAAAGATTTAGAGGAACAGACCCAAAGAGTAATCCTAAATATGTATGATTGTCTGAAAAACGAAAATCCAGATTCCTAGCAAAATCAAATTTTAAACAGAATTTGTATCCTGACAAAAATCAGTCGGTCTATAATTTATCGGGTTATAAAAAGGGGAGATGTAGTCAACCATTCCTTCCACAGAAAGCGCATAGGGCAAAAATTAAAAAGAATAGACGTGGGTTTTCAGGAAGATATTCGTCGTATAATATACGGATTTTACAAAGAAAATTTGGTGCCCACGTTGGAAATGATACGGGATAAATTAAAAGATTATCCTGAAGATTTTTATAATTACAAATGCTTAGACTCACTGCACTGTATTGTAAAACTGTGTGGTTTTCAATACAAAAATTAGATAAAAGAATGGTGATTATGGAGTCGTCTCGAATCGTTGAATTGCGCCAAGAATTTTTGCACAAAGTTAAAATCTATAGAGAGCAGAAAAGAAATCTGATTTACCTGGATGAAACGTGGTATGATACCCATGATGTTGTGCAGTACGGCTGGGTTGACGACAGCAACAAGTGCATTTTAAATGCACCATGCAACCGTGGAAAACGAATCATTATTATATATATCAGTGGATAGAGCAGCAGTTAATACCAAACATTTCCCCAAATTCAGTGATTATTATGGACAATGCGCCATACCATTCCCGACAGAAAAACAAAATTCCGGCACATCCAGGCACAAAAAAACAAGACATTATTGATTTTATGAAGGATAAGGGAATGGAAATACCACAAAAATCAACCAAAGCCATATTATTGGATCTTATTAAAAGACAAAAATTTGAAAAAGAGTATGTTGTTGACAATCTGCTTCAGCAAAATGGCCATGAAGTATTACGTCTACCTCCCTATTACTGCATTTTTAACCCGATTGAGTTGGTCTGGGCTGCTTTAAAAAAAAGTAAGAAAACATAATCAGACCCCTCAATTAAGTGAATCGCTATTGGCCACAATAAGAGACGCAGTATCTCATATTGCTGCCACAGACCTATGGAAGCAGTGTTCTAGGCATATTATTGAAAAAGAAAATGAATATTGTGTTTTGCCTCCTGTAAATACCGTTGTAATTCCTCTACAAGATGACTCTAGCGACAGCTCCGAAGGCGAGGATGATATATAAGTACCTATAATGTAAGTCTTTATATACCTTTTTATATACCTACCTGCTATGTAAATATTTGCCTATGTCAAACGTTGGAATTCTGTAATTTTTCCATTTCTTAACTTTCAGTCAACATAAATTAAACTCCCAATATAAGTATTTTTTATCCCAAATCAAAAAAATAAGAAGATAGAAAGTAAGGAAGTAAAATCCATTTATTGTGATATAAAAACATTATTATTATCGTTCTAAATAAATGACCGCACGCCTATGATACGTCATGAAATTACAAAGGACGCACCGACCAAAGGTTTTTATGCTATTTCAAGTGACTACGCTATTAGGTTTATTTTACTTCTCAGGCAGGGAGGTCGAATGTGTGACCGAAGGCGTATTTCGGTCGAATTTACTATATTATATATATATTATATATATTATAACTTACGTTCATCAGGTCCATCCCTTCCTCCGTAGAAGTAAGTGCGATGAGCGAGTGCATGCACATCTCGGGGCACTTGTCCGGATACGGGCCCCTAAGTACCACCTCGCAACCCACCATGTAGTTCCTAAGTGCCATTCCGCAGCCAACTCGATAGCCGCACTTCCAGCGCGCCTCCTCGCATGCTATCGCTTCGGAGACCGTGATCATCTTGCTGCCCAGCCAAGCCAGAGTCAGCATGATCGGCCACATGGCAGCTGGAACAACAAGAATGTTTTAATAATCATGACACAAATACTCAGCAGAACTCTGTTTTTCTGACCTAATGAAGCCACATATTTGGAAATTACTCTTTACGGCCAGTCACTAAAGAGTAACTTCAATTCAAGTTCAAATTAAAGCCCTTATTTTATGTAGATTATGTTTCATGTGACCAAAAATATATTGCTTCTGTTTACATTCAAAATATGTACTACTAGCCCTACCCCAGAGCCACATGCACTAATTTGGGAGTAGACTAATGTCGATGGGGCAACGGCGGCTAAAATATTTTCAAGATGGTGGCACTTCCGGTTATACCGGAAGTTGGTGCCAACTTGCTTTTTCAAATGAAAACTCCCTATTTTTATAAGTTCATCGCATCAAGCACTAAAAATTACCGTAACTTTATACAGGTTATCTATCCCAAAAATGTTTACTTTTCTAGTAATTTGCAATTTATTACTTTTCTATTGTAAAACTCCTATGAGTACAGATTTAGTTTTTTAATTAGCTGGTTATGACGGCGGGACGCAGAGAATAAACAATTGCGCTCTACAAAAACGTCACTTTATAATAATGTCCTGCATTTGACAGTTTATTTATGAATTATTAATAACAATCATACCCGCGCGTTTAAATTTCACTTACGAAGACTATTTCAGTTTATTTATTATTTATGGTGAATGCAACACAGTGATATCAAGAACATGTGATGTGTTTGCTCATAGATATCCAAAAAAAGAAGACCGGACGCACATACGGCTAAACGAGCAATGGAAAATTTCAAAAATTTCAGTTGTGTAAAGCTCAAGATTCAAAGGAATAAACCTTTAGTTAACGATGAAGCCATTGAAATAGCGGTTTTGGAGTATAAGCAAGTTGGCATCAACTTCCGGTGTAACCGGAAGTGACACCATCTTGGAAATATTTTAGCCGCCGTTGCCCCATCGACATTAGTATACTCCCGAATTTTCAAAAATATAATATGACTACTTTCCGAGAAATCTATCGATGGAGTTCCCGATGCGACACCCTGTATAGTACATGTGCCCCCCATAACCCAAAAGCTGGATCCGCCATCAAACCCCCACCTAGAATTTTTTTCAGGATACGCCAGTATGGAACGTCAACTGGTATAATTGACCTACGCTTTAACATATTCACAGAAATTGTTCTATATGTTTTGCTAAGCCAAATAATTGGCACTTATTTTTTCAAAATGCAGCTCACCTAAGTTGGCTACCAGCATCACGCGTTTTCACATCTATGGTTTATTTTTGTGAGGATTTCAAATCAGTGCTTCACTTGGATGAGGCAGTAAGAGCTTTAAAAAGCAATAATCGTCGCGTTATTGCGAATATACGTTTTAAAATATAATCTAAAAATTCCAGAATGAGTTTTAGCTTTTTGGGTAGGTAGCATTCCACCAACGTTCATCTTTGATCGATCCTAGGCGGTTACCACAACTTCTGAAAACCAGATCAAGAAAGGAGTTATTAACATTTCCACTGACGAACTTTATTAAATGATGAGGCTGGCTTTGATTGAATTTCTCGTATAACTGGTTTATGGCCAAACACGCCATCGTGACGCATTGTATTAGCTGGCACAGTTTTAAGCCTCAAAGAAAATTGCTCACCGAAATGTTTTGGGCAAGCACGGACAGCAAACAAACAATACTAACTCTCAAGTATTGCAAGATCACACCGTGAACAATACTTGGCACTCGTGAGTCTCCACCAGTAATAATATAGTTGAAGGGTAATTCCCAATCCAATAGTTGATAGACTGGATGAAAGGGCTGCTCAAACCAGAGTTCTAACCCCAGAGGCGATATACATCTTACCCGTTGGATCCATGACAACTATGCTAAGAGTATACCACATCAATTCGAGAATCCATTCTGGGGGAACGTTGGTCTTCTATGGCTAGTTGTAGGGAACGTCCAGTAGGTTCAAAAGTTTGGGGTGGCTGATGATCCAGCCCTGAGTGACTTCTAGGGAGGGCGTACAAAAACCCCAATGGGCCTAAGTGTCTCCCATACAGAATACAGAATTTGTGTACGTAATGGGGTGTTTTTCTCTAAATAGACAATAATGCATTTTTAATAGCTGGGATACAATTGTTTCTATGTGATACTAACCGCCAATAAATTGCTTTCAACCATTTCTCCATGAATCATTCAGTTTGTCCTCGTTTTTTTCCACTCGTACAGTGGATATAACGTATTTAGCCATTGGAAGATAACCCATTCAAACTCTCCATATTTCCTAACGAAGCAAATAGAAAAAATCAATTTTGGATATCTATAGAATGTGCCTATATATTTAATGTCATCCTAAGAACAAGTTGTGGAGAAAGGTCACGCTATATACTGTTGCGTCACAGCTTTGAAACGAATTTTTACGTTTGAACTTTGGAGGGCAAGATTTGCCACATATCGTTCATAAAAAAGTGGAAACGGTAATACATTTTGGAAGTAAGACATTGATATTCCTTTAAAATAAAAATTTTGGTATATGGAGTTTCCGATCCACCACTGGTTTTTCTTAGTTGAAACCGGAATTCCCTAGTGCCTCCTGACTGCCATTAAACAGTTGTGTTCCGAAGTAAATCATTCGCCAGCGTCTGTGCCCGTTCCACATGTGAAACTTCTATATTTATCTCATCTGTCAAACGTATGAATAGTTCTTTTGAAGGCATTCCTACCATGTTACAGCTGACGACCGACTGATATCGTTTTACTCACTAATTAAAGTTGTTTTTCGAATGCTGCCGTACTGGCATGGGCTTGGCTGATATTTCGGGAACACGACTGCTACTAATTTAAGAGCACAATGCAATTAATATGAGATATATAAGAGGGGCATTTGAATGTTTCGGGTGTGAACAGTCTCATCTACAAGTCAGGAAATTTTTCCGAAGTGATTCTTTCTCCAGGTATCCCCTTTGTACTTTAAAGATATTAAAACATGCAGAATCGAAACATGTCCTTGAGTCAATATTTAAGTGTAGTTCTCAATAAACTATGAATATCACGATTCTTTTATTATTAAACACGGTCAAGGTCATCGTCAAGGTCACCACCACTTTGCCCTGTCAAAACCCTACAACATTTGTTTGAATCTTTTATTTCTAGAAAGAGCAGTTTTATATTTAGGTGAGAGATTAAAGTGGGACACTGTATACCACTAGCCCTATTTCTTGCTAAAACAACACAAGCCAGTTTCAGGTATCTTACATTTTTTCCCTAAGATCTCAACACCCGTGGATATCATGGGGCATTCTGGTCCCGCCTTGAAGATCTGCCAGTTGGTACTTTAACGATCGATAGCCCGAGACCGTCTACGAAAAATGGACAATTAAAAGAAAATTTTCTTGAGACGGGACTCGAACCCGCGCAGCTTACGCCGACTGATTAGTAGAATAGTCTACTAGCAAAAGTGAAAAGATGTGTATGTACTAATTGTATGGGCCTGTTTGATTGACTTGATCCGTTTATTACCATTAATATATACAGGGTGACTTCGAAGTTGAGTCATTTATTTTAACAGTGAGTAGATCTGATCAAAAGAAATGTTTTTTTCCTTTACCATTTTTCTGGTAAAATTAAAGTAACAAAGTTATAGCCCTTTGGAAGTTTGAGTACCGCCCTGTCTCAATAATAATATCATGTGCTCGTGTTTGGCAACAACGGATATAATCCGCCTTATCGGTTCATCGCATCGGAAACAAAAAAGCGAAAGAATTTGGAACGATGTTTTTACAATTATTTTATTCAGTTCAGTTATACATACAGTCAGTGTCAGTCGGTTACGCGTGTGAATAGTGTCTGTTGCGTGGCTCAAACGAAATAAAAAATGGCACATGTTTATGCGGATCGGTTTCCCAATCGAGTGCAACCAACCCCTCGTGTCTTTGTTAATGTAGTACAACGGGCTCGTGAATCAGGTGACTTAAGACCTCACAGGGGACCTCACGATCAAATACAGGTCCGTACTGAAATACTTGTCGGGAGGATACTTTATAAAACAAGGTAAATATTTTTTTTTAATTTTTTTTTTATTTTTACACACATATTTTGGTTTATCTTCCTTCTACAATCATTATCTGAAAATTAATGACTCAACTTCAAAGTCACCCTGTATATATATATATATATATATTATATCTTCCGCCTTTTATTGGGTACTTCGACAAAATTAAGCAAGGACTCCTTATACTTTTTTAATCTCTCTAGCTTTCAATAGTCTTTGCCATCATCATCAGGAGCTGCAATTCCATTCCATTCAAATTTGAATAATTCTTTTCTCATAATAAAATAACTGTTAATTCAATTGCCCATCTCATCAATAATATAGTTATTTCAACTGCCTCTGGTCGGTTTGACAAGTTCTTACCCAACATATCATATCTTGAAAATCACACCATCTGAACTGATTTGGCAACATAGCACACGCCTTACAAAAGAATTTTCGTCCATCCATCTACACGGACACTGCTAACCTTCTGCCATCTGTCAAAAGGTACATCTTAGTCATGATTCTATGCCCACCATTTTGTGCAATCATCAATTGGTTTCACGATGTAATGCTTAACTTTCGTTTTAAATATTTTTAATCTGTTTTTAATTTGTTCTTGTCATACAGCTGTGTGTAGTTTGTATAATTTTGACTATTGTACCATGTATCCAGCTTTCACCATGTTACTGGGTGTTTCCCTCATTCTTAACGTAAATAACATTTAGCAACATCTTCACATACTACTGTAAATTAATTTAAATTCATTTTGTACAATTGTTGCTACTTTTCTCAATGTAATTGCGCCTGATGATGATGGCAAAGACCATTGAACGCTAGAGAGATTAAAAAAGTATAAAGAGTCCTTGCTTAAATTTTGTCGAAGTACCCAACAAAAGGCGGAAGCTTTAATTTTTCACCTAACTGGTCTAGACGATAATGACCACGTCTCAAAATATATATTATATATATAATCT